TTACCGTCCTTGTCCTTGATGTGCTGAGAGGTGAACGACCCCTTAAGTTCGACGTCGATCATCTTCAGGTGCCTGTAGAAACCCGCCTGATCCCCCTCGCGGCTCTTCTTCTCGAGCTGCCGTACATAGCCCTCGAAGAACGTTTCCAGTGCTCTCCACCTCGCGATGCTGCGCTTCTTCCGCGCCGCCTTGAGCATCGCCTTCAGGGCCGCCTCGAAGGCGCTGTTCTTTGAGGCCCCACGCAGTTGCTGCTGGGCCGCCTTAATCTCCTTAGACGCTTCGGAGATCTCGTGCTGCGCTTCGCTCGTGTACCAGCCTCTCTGCCCTCGTGCGCACCTCGCCAGCGGCGGGGTCTCAGCAGCGGCCGACATCACCGTAGCCGTCAGCTCGGCGGCGGTCTCTCCCGTTGGCCGCCTGAGCGCCGTGGGCGGAGGGCGGCTGGAGGCCCTGTTTTGGAAGGCGACCCGTAGGTGTTTGTCCTTCCTCAACCGCTCGAGGTCGATACAGATCCGGCTGCTTCCGCTGTTCCCCCGCACTCGTCGATTGGATGCGACATGGGGGGGGAGGGGCGGACAGTCGTAAGCACGAGGTCGTGGTCAGAGTCCTTGAAGTCGACACGTTTGACGGAGACATTACACACGAAACGCCGGTCCGTCTGACGCATGAGGATGAAGTCGAGGCGGTACTTCTCCTTCCCCTTGTTGGAGCTCTGGAACGTANCTGACGCATGAGGATGAAGTCGAGGCGGTACTTCTCCTTCCCCTTGTTGGAGCTTTGGAATGTGTGCTGCACTCCACCTTTCGGTCACCTTTCGGTGTCCGGAAGTAGGTGTTGGTCAGGGAGAGTTGGTTGTCTGATGCCAGTCCAAGGAGTCGTTCCCCGTTGTTGTTCAGAATGTCGCGTCCGTACGCGCCCATAAACTTGGCGCAGCACCCATCTCGCCTCCTACCAATGCGTGCGTCGGCGTCCATTAGTACCACGAGATGGTCACGGCTGCGAACCTCCCGGATTGCTGCGTCGAGAGCAGTCCAGAAGGAGTCCTTGGCGCTAACATCACCGCCCGCGGTGGTGTGGACAGTTTCCGTGGGAGCGTACCCCACCACGAAAGGTACTCCGCAGGTGCGGCCAATTTGTAGACGCACCTTCATCAGCCTCGGGCTAATGCACTCCACCGTCCTACCTTCCTCGCCCACACTCTCCCACATGGCCTCCTTGATCACCATGCCCACACCGTTTACGCCCCTCTTGTCCTTGGTGCCAGCACGGGCGGCACTCCAGATGATCACGTACCCGTCGTGTGCAGTTGAACCTTGCCCCCCTCGTCGGGTCTCCTGAAGTCCTATCACATCGCAGCCGGTCGCCGAACAAATCTGCATGACCGCCATCACGTTGTGACCGATGGACAATCGGGATATCCGCCCCGAACTTTATTAACAGCAGCCGTTTGCATGTGCGCTGGGTCAGAAGCGGAACGTGGTGTGTGGTCTCTTTTGTATGCGGACCAACATAGGTGCGCGTGTGTGCGTACATTGCTCTACCTGCTGCTGAATGGTCGACAGGCGCACTCGGAAGCCAGTAACGGCAGTCTGGCAGAAATATAACGAAACGTCAAGTTTTTAACCCAAGATGCATCCTTTGCCCAAAAGATACTTCGAAGTAGCAACAGTCTATGGACCAAATATTCTGTCACAACTACGACTGTAATTAGTAATTACCCTTTCGGACCAGTAGCCTACTGACAGCAGTTCTCTATAAAAAATGTCGCCAAAAAACATCTTTTACTCACACTTAGAAACTCGCGAAGCTTAGGCACGGTCCACTTGGTGTAATCTTCAGTCTCCCCCGGGAGTCTGCTGAAGCCGTGTGCGCGGTAGTTGTTTGTTTCTTGAGGACCTCGAGCGCGAGACGTCCTGCTGCTAGCATTCGGGGGGCGACTACTAGCTGTCTCGGGGTGTTGCCCTTTTTGTTGATAAAGCGGTAGCTTCTGGGGAAAAGTAGTTGAATTAAAGAGACCCTTGTCAGGAGAGACTGGTCAGAAAGTGGAGTGAGCACGGTGTGCAAGCCGTGTCCTCGATACCCTGCGAACTCCTGGAAACCAACGAACCAACGGACACGTTCCGGAACCGTTCCGGAGCACCAGCAACGTTCTACAGTATCTCAGTATCAGTCCTCGGACCATTGCGACTTCCTACACTCCACAAACTCTCGGGATGATTACCTGAACTAAGATACCATGCTCAGACTAGCGCAGCGTCCACAAGATTATTCCAACCACAAGGACCACGAACGTTCCTTATGTCGGTAGCTCAACAATCTACAGAGGATCGACATTGTTCCGCGTATTCAAATCGTCCAATCAGATATTCTACGCAACTCAGTCGATACATACTGCCTCTACCACGAACACCCTCACTAGGGGCTGTTGTATCAACTAGACCAAGTACATCAAGTATCAAAGCAAAACAACAAAACAATTCAGACTCCTACTTCCTAGATCCCAATGCAAAGTCACGGTGAACTTCAAAAAGGTCTCTCGGTAGAGCCTTCGTGAGGATGTCCGCATGCTGCTCCTTACTTGGGACATGCGTGACCTCGATCACACCTTCCTCCGTCAAATTCCTAAGGAAGTGATGCCTCACGTCGATGTGCTTACTCCTACTCGAGCTCAGCGGGTTTTCTGCGAGCGCAATCGCTCCTTCGTTGTCCTCAAGGACGTCTATCTTACGCGGCTTCACACTCGGCCGCAGGAACTGAAGCATTCCATTTACAAACAGAGCCTCCTTCACACCATCACCCATCGCAAGGTACTCTGACTCAGAAGTCGACTGCGAAACGCATTTCTGCGTCCTAGAAATCCAAACTACAAGCATAGCAGCCACAAAAACCATTGCTCCTGAAACTGACCTACGGTCTGTAGCCTTACTCGCGAAGTCCGCATCTACGTACACCAACGTGCCTACGTCTACCGAACTATCACGCTTGAACTTCAAAGTCAGATGTGCCGTTTCCAGAAGATAATTGAGGATCTTCTGGGCCGCCTTCCAGTGGCTCTTCTTTGGCTCGTGAGAGTGCCTCGCCACAGCCCGCACAGCGTTAGAGATGTCGGCTCGCGTCTGGCTGGCGATCCACATCAGGCTTCCAACCACCTCACGGAACGGCACATCTCCTGCCCCCTCCTCCTCCATCAAGGACCTGTCATCGTTGTTAAGGGAAGCAGGGATTGAACTAGTGCGAACAATGTTGAACCTCTCAAGGACACTCCTGATGTAGCTCTCCTGAGAAATCTCGATCGTACCAGCCTTGCGGTCGCGAATGTATTCGCAACCAAGAAAGAACTTGACCTCGCCCAAGTTCTTCGTCGGAAGAGAGTCACCAAGCGCTGCCACTACAACCTCAGCCAGACTCTTCGTTCCTGCATACAGAATGTCATCCACATGAATCGCGACCATCCCCACCACCTCGTCTCCCATCATGAAACAAAGGACACAGGGGTCAGACATAGACTGCTCGAAACCAATCCTCTTCAGCTCCGACACTAGCCTCTTGTAGAATGTTCTAGAAGCCTGCTTCAATCCGTACAAACTCTTGTTCAAACGGACAACTTTTTCCGACATTGAACCACAGCCAGGAGGCATCTTCATGAACACCTCATGATCCAATTCCGACTGAACAAACGCCTGCTCAATATCCCAGTGGAGTAATTCCAAGTTGTACTTGCACGCCAACGCTACTACCAATCTAAAAGATGCAGCATTTGCAGTAGGCGAGAAAGTCTCAAGATAGTCCACACCGTACTTCTGCTTGAAGCCCTTCGCTACAAGCCTAGCCTTGGCCTTCACTATCTTTCCTGTTTCGTCCGCTTTCCATTTGAAGACCCATCTAGCATCGATCACATTACAGCCTATCGGGACTTTTACTGCCAATGTGAACGTTCCTGCTCTCATCAAGCCTTCTACTTCAGCGGACCTGGCTCCCTCCCAAATCTTAGCATATTTCGAACGCTGGGCTTCCTCATAGCTACCAGGCTCTGACTCAACATCTTGTACCACTTCTTTTGGCAATTCCGTCTCATCACCTGCTCTCTGCTCCGACAAAAGTGCATACAATACCTCTGTGCCGGAGATGGGTCCTATGGTGGCCATGAGGCCAGGAACACTCTGCTGATTAACTGCACGAGTTTGCGCGCGAGTCCTGCCTTCTCGTACTTCATCATTTTCACGCGCAGCTGTGTTGAAATCGGCAAGTTCAGCTACGTGTCTCGGACGACGACCGGTCGGAGGGGACGCCTCCGTTTCTACTGGTCTTCCCGACCCATTCAACTCTTCCTCGTCCTGCCCTCCCTGCCCCATCGACTCTACCTCATCATCCCCTCCCGGATCCCCCGTCTCTATTTCCNACCGGAGATGGGGTCCTATGGTGGCCATGAGGCCAGGAACACTCTGCGCTATAGCGTGTTCATCAGTCGGCTGCTGTTTCGTCCCCCTGGACTGTGTGTCGACGGACTGCGAGAGGGCGGCTTGATCACCCGGCCTTTTCGTCATGGCTGACGGGGACCAGCACGCGGACCCTGCGGTCAACCATCAGGGTGACTCGCAGGGTGGTGGTGAGAGTTTGGATGTCATAACCACGCAGCTTTCCCAGTTGATGACTCTGGTCGCAAGCCAACAGAGTCAGATCGCGTCGCTAGTAGAGAACCAAAGAAAGGAGAGCGAGGAAGTGGAGTCCTCTAGTCCGGATCGTGTCGCACCTAGAGATACGGGACTAGAGTCAGGTGTGCACCACTCGGGTGCCGCCGGTGGGGCCGTCGGGAGTACGGGTAGCGCCCTAGGCTCTGGCGAGTCCAGCGCGGGGGTTGGGAGTAGTAGTCTTCTAGGCTCAGGCTTGAACCCTCGTGTGGCATTTTCTGCCGATCAATCAGTTGTTGCTGCAGTAAACCCTGATTTGGTCACCGGTACATTTGGTAGGGCTTCTCAAGTAGATAGCCAGTCCACTGTCCCGCCTACCGCTAACCGACGTGACCTCGATCACACCTTCCTCCGTCAAATTCCTAAGGAAGTGATGCCTCACGTCGATGTGCTTACTCCTATTCGAGCTCAGCGGGTTTTGTGCGATCGCTCCTTCGTTGTCCTCAAGGACGTCTATCTTACGCGGCTTCACACTCGGCCGCAGGAACTGAAGCATTCCATTTACAAACAGAGCCTCCTTCACACCATCACCCATCGCAAGGTACTCTGCCTCAGAAGTCGACTGCGAAACGCATTTCTGCGTCCTAGAAATCCAAACTACAAGCATAGCAGCCACAAAAACCATTGCTCCTGAAACTGACCTACGGTCTGTAGCCTTACTCGCGAAGTCCGCATCTACGTACACCAACGTGCCTACGTCTACCGAACTATCACGCTTGAACTTCAAAGTCAGATGTGCCGTTTCCAGAAGATAATTGAGGATCTTCTGGGCCGCCTTCCAGTGGCTCTTCTTTGGCTCGTGAGAGTGCCTCGCCACAGCCCGCACAGCGTTAGAGATGTCGGCTCGCGTCTGGCTGGCGATCCACATCAGGCTTCCAACCACCTCACGGAACGGCACATCTCCTGCCCCCTCCTCCTCCATCAAGGACCTGTCATCGTTGTAAAGGGAAGCAGGGATTGAACTAGTGCGAACAATGTTGAACCTCTCAAGGACACTCCTGATGTAGCTCTCCTGAGAAATCTCGATCGTACCAGCCTTGCGGTCGCGAATGTATTCGCAACCAAGAAAGAACTTGACCTCGCCCAAGTTCTTCGTCGGAAGAGAGTCACCAAGCGCTGCCACTACAACCTCAGCCAGACTCTTCGTTCCTGCATACAGAATGTCATCCACATGAATCGCGACCATCCCCACCACCTCGTCTCCCATCATGAAACGCAGGACACAGGGGTCAGACATAGACTGCTCGAAACCAATCCTCTTCAGCTCCGACACTAGCCTCTTGTAGAATGTTCTAGAAGCCTGCCTCAATCCGTACAAACTCTTGTTCAAACGGACAACTTTTTCCGACATTGAACCACAGCCAGGAGGCATCTTCATGAACACCTCATGATCCAATTCCGACTGAACAAACGCCTGCTCAATATCCCAGTGGAGTAATTCCAAGTTGTACTTGCACGCCAACGCTACTACCAATCTAAAAGATGCAGCATTTGCAGTAGGCGAGAAAGTCTCAAGATAGTCCACACCGTACTTCTGCTTGAAGCCCTTCGCTACAAGCCTAGCCTTGGCCTTCACTATCTTNCACGCCAACGCTACTACCAATCTAAAAGATGCAGCATTTGCAGTAGGCGAGAAAGTCTCAAGATAGTCCACACCGTACTTCTGCTTGAAGCCCTTCGCTACAAGCCTAGCCTTGGCCTTCACTATCTTTCCTGTTTCGTCCGCTTTCCATTTGAAGACCCATCTAGCATCGATCACATTACAGCCTATCGGGACTTTTACTGCCAATGTGAACGTTCCTGCTCTCATCAAGCCTTCTACTTCAGCGGACCTGGCTCCGTCCCAAATCTTAGCATATTTCGAACGCACACATACATCACCGCACGGGACCAGTAAAATATCACGCTCGCTCCTGGACGATGTAGTACCACTGCTGTGCTGTGCACCTCTCAACACTCATTGTGGGCGAGAGGGTGTGTCGCCTCTGCTGCTGCTGCTGTTGCTGTTATCTAAAGCGGTGGCGGAAGCGTCCTGTTCAAACAATCAGCAGCAGCAGCAGCACAAGCCGGGGAATTTTTCAACGTATGTTTTTTTTTCTCTAGCTGATGACGATGGATGACACTCCCCCCCCTCTGATGATAGCACCCCCCTCGCTAGCTGACGATGGACACCACCTCCTTCTCTAGCGAATGATGATGGATACCACCCCCCTCTCTAGCTGGTGATGATGGACCGCCCCCCGTTCTTCTGTACGACGAGAAAATCACACGAGCCAGCCAATGAACAGACGCACGAGCCTACTGCAGGTACTTTTGTGCAACCACCACAAAAAACTATTCC